CGCCGCCCGCCGCCGCCCGCGGGCTGGGGCCGGCCCGCGCCCCCGCGTCCCCGTACCTCGTAAAGGTCCCCAGAAGCCATGCCAGGCTGCGGAACTTGGCTCGCCGGGTGTGCGCGTCTGCTCGCTCGCGCCCTCCGTGCGTGTGCGCGCGGGGGCCAGTGTGCGCGTGTGTGCGCGCGTGTGTGAGTGTGTGTGGTGTGTTGAGTAAACTGTGTTTTTGCAGAATGACAGGCTTGGGGGCTGCCTATGCGCAGAATCAGAGCGGGCGGCGGCGGGGCTGGCGTAACCGGCAGCGGCGGCGGCGGCGGCGGCGGCGGCACGAGCGCGGGCAGCAGCGACGGCCGCGCAGCGCGCCCGGGAGGCACGGACGCGGCCCGAGCGCCGCGGCCCCCGCGACCCGCGACCCGGCGACCGGCGGCGGCGGCGGCTGCACCCGGCAACGGCTCGCCCCGGCGCCGCCTGCAGGAAGCCGCCCCGCGCCCGCCGCCGGCCCGGACGCTGCTGCCACTGGGCGAGTCCCCGCCCCCCGGGAGCCCGGCCCGGCCCTCGGGCGCGGGGGCGGGGGCGGCTGCCCGGCCGCGCCCCGGGGACCGGTCCTGGAGCCCAGGAGCGCCCAGGCCCGCCCCGCCGCCCCGGGCCCGCTTCGGAGGCGGCCGGCGGGCCCCCCGGGGCTGGCGGGCCAGGTGCCCGCCAGGCGTGCCCGCCCCGGGGCCGCGAAGGGGCGGCCGGGAGGCAGGTAGAGGGCTGCGGTTGCAGGTCGCAGGGAAGGGGCCCCAGCCGAGCCCAGCTGGTCGGGGTCCCCCGCCTCCGTCTCCCCTCCCCGGGAGGAGCGTGGGCGCCGCCCTGGGAGACCTGTCCCCTTGGGGTTGCGCGGCCCCTCCCTTCAGGCCGGTTTGTAAGATGTGGAGGCCACGAGGAGGAGGGACGAAAAGACCCATCCAGAAGCGCCATGGAGAGCCACGACAGCGTGGCCACCCCATAAACCCTGGAAAGTCTTTAGAGCCAGTCGTGGCCTTCCCTCAATAACTGTCCCTCACCCCCCATTCATTCACTCATCTGTTATTGAAACGTTTCCCAAAGTCCACCCAACTGCACAGTGTCCCTGGACAGTCACAACTGGGACCCTGCCCACAGGGGACTTTGAATCCGGTAGGGGAAACTAGACATTCCCAAGTGAAGAGGGCAGTGGTACATTCAATTGTTCCAGAGCTGGAGCGACAGGAGAAGCCCTCTCAAATCAAAACCCATTCTTTAAGTCGTCTCTTCCTACCAATGTGGATAAATGGTCACCCTTCTGCTTAAAGCCTTTTCCTTATAAAAAAAATATAGTCATCTGAGAACCTTGAGAAGTCAGACTGTTCTGAAATTGGAGGTATGACGTGGACTTAACTCACATCCTCCCTGGGTCATTTCATATTTGTGAGACCATGAGCAAGTCACTTTACCCATCTCTAAATGGGAGATGGTGATAAGCACCTAAGGTGAAGTGAGAATTAAACAGAGGATCTATGTAAGCATGGAGTGGCCTACCCATGCCAGCAGAACTCAACAGAGGTAATTCGTGTCTGAGTCTGGACTCTGAAGTCCAGAGTGTGCGATGGCAAAGGGGCCAGAGGGATTTTTCAATCCAGAGGCGGTCAAACTTTTAAAAGTTACCAAATTTTTTAATGAAAAAAAAAATTCATAGACTGTCGACCACAAAGTTTTCATGTCTGACTCATTGCAGGACATATGAGTTTGTATATGCTGTTCCCTCTGCCTAGAATGTCCTTCCATGCTGAATTCATCTGGAAAACTCTTGCTGTTCCTACAGGGGCTTGTTTATCTTTGTATCACAAGCATCTACCACTATTTCTCACAGACGGTATGTACATATGAATGTTTGTCAGACTATGCCAATACAACAAATTTTATACTAATTTCTAGTTAAAATCCTGTATTAAAATAGTGAAGGAAAAAATGGTGATGGCGTGGAAATAATAAATAAGAGAGCATATTAGGCTTAGAAACTGTAGAGATTGTTATAGCAGTTCTTTTCCGTCTTCCTATCAATATTTTCCCCATGGCTATGGTTTTAAATAATAACGTTAATAATAAGCAGTTCTCTTATCTGTAGGTAGCAAAACAAATTTTAATGATCCTTGATTTGTATTTGGGAATTAAGTGCACCCCCATAGCATGAGGATGTAATTTGGAAGTAGAAAACAAGAAAGAAACGGGGTTTGGAAATAATATGCACAGCCAAATTTGAATTTATAATCAGTAGCTTTACAAAAACACCAAAAACTTCACTTACACTGGCCAAATACTCCGTGGGAACATGAGCACGACATTCATTCCCAAAGTTCGCAGAAGGGAACACTCACTGTGGACTAGCATGCTCAGAAAGTGTTTTAGGACTGAAGTGGATCTTGAAGACTCATAGAAAAGGAGGGACAGTGTTTTAACTGGAGGGAAGAAGGAGGTGGTGGGCAATTCTGCAATGGGAAGGGCCCAAGAAGACTATGAGACTGGTTCGTGGAGGTCCCAGGACCCTGGATGGTGAAGGTGGGTCAGTTCATGGAGTCTTAAAAGCCAACCTAAGAAGCCTACGACGCAGCAGGTCAACAGTGGGAAACTGGGTGAGGACTTCTGAATCCATCAAAAGCATGCAACAATTAAAAATGTGCTTTAGAAAACAAATTCTCGAAGAAATATGAGAAATCGACAGCAGGGATTGAGTTTAAGGCCAGGGAGAGGAATCGCGGTGGTCCCCGGTGGTAGCAGTGGAAATGAAGAAGAAAAACTGGATTTGTGAGATGTTCAGAAGGTAGAACCCAGCTAATATTTGTTGTGGTTGCTCCACCTACTTCCATGAAACATTTGATCCAGACCAACAGGACCCGATGACTAACAGGATGCATGTGCGTTGAGGACTGGGGGAGGGCCAAGCAACTAAGGAAAGAAAGCATGCAGAGATGACTAAGGCTTTAAACTGAGTGACTGAGCTACCCATCCGTCACAACACTATTTTATTTTGAGCTTACCCCCAGACCATTGCTGGCTTCCGGAAAAGGCAGGTGCTTCCTGAGGGATGACGGGGGGAAGGGTCTTTGCTTACTGTGCGAAGGTCAGCCCAGCCTTGGACAGTGTGGCTCCAGGTCCTTCAGATGATGGAGAAGTATTATCGCTCACAGGGAATGGAAGACACCTGCCGTCTTCCACAAACTAGTGTAGACTCTTCATACTGGGCATAACTCAAGGTCATACGATAGAAAACTCAACCCTAACTTAAAACAGAGAGAATTTATTGACTCACATAGATAGGAAAAGGATGGAGTTGCTCTCAAGATTGGCTGGATTCAGGGTCTCAAGGGGTATAAAATAGCCTCTCTCACTCTCTTTCTTTCTGCATATTGGACGTTTCCTGTTGAAGATGGGCTTCTTCCATGCAGCCGAGAACATGGCACCTGGCAGCTTATGTGGTCCAGGTTTATAAATCCAGAGAAGGGCTCTCCTTGGCCCTTGTACCTCACACGCTCACAGTTTGGCCCAATCCCTGTAGTCATTCACTGATAGTACACTACAATTGTCCAGGCTTAAGTCTCACTCCTATCTATGGGAAAAATATGACAACTGGCAGTTTTACCAGGATTACATGGTCAGAATCGGGGATGAGCAGAAGCCCAAAGGATTAGTAAAAAGGAATACTGAAAAGATGGGCACCCACTCTGTGCTGGAATAAACCCAGGACAGAGAGGGTAGGAGCAAAGGCAGTCGCCACCTAGAACATGCCCTTAACAATAGATCAAGACTGGCCAGTTTCATATCCAAGGAAGGATTGTATCCCATTTCACAGTGGCATTAAAATGTGACAATATTCTCCTTCTGGGTATTACTTGAGACACAATCTTGACCTCCCATATTATGTGGTGGCTGGACATGTGGGCTCTAGAGCAAGATGGCCTGGGTTCCCAATCTTGCATCATCACTCCTAGCTGTATGGTATAAGCCTCTTTACTTAACAGCTCTCTCCTTCCGTTTCTAACTATATTTGTTATTTATGACTGCGTAATATCTCCAAAATTTAGTGGCTTAAAAAAAGGCATTTCTAATCTCAGTTTTTGTTGGTTACGGATTTGGGAGCAGCTTAACTGGGTGGTTCTGGCTCAGGGTCTCTCATGAGATTATAATCAAAACGTTCTCTTGGACTGCAGTTATCCGAAGGCGTGGCTGGGACTGGAGGGTCCACCTGCAAGATGACGCCCTCACACGGCTGTTGGCAGGAGGCCTCAGCTCCCAGCCACATGGGTCTCTCTGTAGGGTTGCTTGAGTGTCCTCACACCATTCTCATCTGGGCCCCCCAAAACCAATAAAATAAGGCAAACCTGCCAAAGCTTCAACTCTTTCTAGCACAGAGCTGCTAACTAATCTAATGTCATAGTCCATGGCCACATGTGGCCTTCTGTTTCCTCGGATTTGGTCAAAAGGCTGCACTTAAGGAAACAGAAGGCCACATGTGGCCTTGAGGCCCCAGGTTCCCCACCTGGTCCATGCTAAGAAGGCTATTTGATGTGGAGGTGATTTGCAGCATGTCAGGTTGAACAACTGGAGATGTCATCTGATCCACACCCCTCACTTTAAAGATGAGAAAACTAAGACCCAGGTTGGGTGACCCAAGAGAGAGAAGGAGCACAGAGGAAGTCACACAATGCCTTTGAAGACCTAAGCTTGGACACCAAATATAGTCCCTTCTACCATATCCTGTTCTTTAGAACTGAACCACTAAGCCAAGCCCACACTCAAAAGAAGGCAAATTAGCCTCTTCCTTTTAAAAGGAGGACTATCAAAGAATTTGTGGACATAAACCACCAAACCACATCTGTAAACTACTTGATAGGTACCCCACAGAGTTGTTTTGAGAATTAGATGAGCTAATCCATGCAGAGCATCTATAATAAGGACTGAATAGTGGTCTCTGTTATAATTACTGTCACAACTACCATTACCAGTTTCAAACTTGATGTGAGTCACTAATGTCCTTCAATGTTAAAGATTCCTATGGAAAGGCATTACATCAAATAAAACCTTTAAAATGAATATTGTTCTCAAGTCATGCAGAAACTCTTATTATTAATTAAGTTTTATTTTCAGCATCTGTTTTAAAATATTTTACTTCCACAATAATAATTAAAATCA